CTTTTCCTAAACCTAACCAAGTAGTTTTGTTGCCTAATCCTAACCAAACTGTGACTGTGTTTAATATTAACCCCTTGTTAAAAAGGCATATCATACAGACGCTAATGGGTCTCTTGTGGTTTTGTATGAGACGCTGTGGGGCGTGACAGAGCAGCATTGGTATGTGATGACCTGGGATGAGAAAGTGTTGAGCATTTAAATTTTGAATATCTTACCATGCTGATGTTAGCTGATTTTATTCAGTGTGACAGTTTCCAAGCTCAGTATTCCAAGGAGGATAAATATGCACAGTTTTGTCTGACTGCAAGTTTAAGTTTTTAGCCTGCTATATCTTTTGAGTATCTACAAATTGCAGACTTGACAAGTGGCTTTGTTGTATCTTCTCCCTCACAGAGGATGGTTGCTGTAGTCAACTTGCACTCATAGAAGTTACAATGGCAACCCAGTGCAAAGGAAAAAAAGAGGACTTCTCAAACCAACTGAAAAGAAACTGTTTGAAATCTATTGAACATGTTAAAAGGAGGATTGTGCAAAGGATAGCCAGTGGTTCTCCATTGGAATCCACACAGCTGACGTCCTCTGTGAAGGATCACAATCACAAACTTTTCAAGGCAAACTTTTTTGCTTCACTGCTTGAGTTTTTGTTTAACTATTAATTTTGTTGGAGCAAGTAAGCACTAATCCATTTGTATACTTGTAATACTAACACCTTGCAAAAAAAACTCTCGTTCATAATTCAACTCCACTATCATTACATAAGGTTCTATTGTGCTATAACGGTATATACTGTTGTTGAAAGATGGTATGGAGGCTAAGTTTTGCTAGCTATTTAGCATGGTGCTAATTAGATTTTTAGGAGTAACACTTATCTCTGACAGGGAGATACTGTTACCAGAACATGTCTGCATTTTAATAAGATGAGTGTTCAGTCCACACACACACACACAAACACACACTACATGTTCCTAAAGACAGTTCCAAGGTAGAAGATAGTGTACTACAAGATAAGGCAGATGGTGGTAGGCCAAAAAGTAAATCTATAGCAGGATAAAAAACATTTGAACTGAAGCATTAACCATCACCAGCTGTTTTTGCTTCACATGTCATATAACTAAGCTTCCAATTATTAATACAATAATAATACTCCTCTTTTCCCCTGGACCCCACAACTTGTAACATATATATAAAAACGTATAATAAAAGCTTTGGTTTAGGAGATGTGTCTGCTACCATCTTTGTTTGGAAGAGGCACAACTTGAGAAATGGGCTGAAATTTTCTTTAAAATCGTGCAACAGATGGAACATTTATTCGTCCAGATTCTAGAAAAACCTTCATAACAGCAGTACGTGTTGGTAAATTACCTTCTGGGTTATTCAAACATTGCCAGGTATTTCTTTTTTAGGAAACTCAGTTGTGTCACTCAGTAATGAGAGATACAAACTTCTACACCAGCTGATGATTCGTTGTTTTTATAGATATATATAAAAACAACGACAATAAAACAAGAGCGCCTCTAAAATTTCTCCATCTCAAGGATTTGCAGTTTGAAATTCTGCTAAGCCAGCATTTTGACTGGGCAGGACTGTTTCTTTCATTAAAACACTAGTGAAAACCAACATAACAGTGTCTTAATCTGTTAATCAGCCGGGTTTTACTTTATTTATTTTTATTGTCTGTAAACTGTAGCAGCAGGAGCCCTCTAAATAATAGAAATGTGTCATTATCACTGTTTAAAGCTGCTTTGTTTCTATGTTTCATGCTCACATCATCATATCGTTTCCAAAGGCAGTTGTTTATTAACCACAAGCGCCTTAGGGGTTCTCTTTCAGCTCCTGCAGAGATCTTAGCACTTTCATAATTATGTCTTAATGATTTTATTCATTCTTATGCATAAAAGTAAGATCAAATATTTGGTTTGTGTCTTTCGATTTTATCCCACTGTGAACACAGTATTAAAGTTAAAGATGGAAATCTGCGCTGCTTATTATGACAACTAATGCTGATCATTAATAGCAGAAATGAATGTTGCATAATGTTTTAATGCCTCATGATTCTCTTTTGTTCAGGTGCCATGTTTCTTTAACTGTATGCTGCTGTTTGTCTGTGCTGACAGCAGACGGGTTATTTTAGGCTGCGACCACATTTATCTCCTGCTAATGTACAGTATAGTATGTCACAACGCTGCAGTGCAAGAGCTCAAAGTGTTACATCATTGTCACTGCCGCACAACTATGCAATTATGCACCTGGGAATGACATAGACATTAACATAAAAAGAAGACATTATAAATAACCTTTGCTAATACTGAAAGGAGAAGATCCTGTTCCAAATTGAGGAACATGAATACATCCCACGATACAAGACTGAAAAGGACATTTTAGAAACAATGCATCCTGTGTGCAGCCGTCATTAATCTCCACTAACCTGAAGGAATACAACAGATTTGTCAATGTGGTTGCTTGTTTTTTGTGCGTGCAAGGAAACAGTTTACAGTTTACTACTCAGAAAGTAAGAAAGAAAGTTTTCTTTACTGTTTTTTCACAGGAAGTGAAGGCATTGGCAGCAACCTAACCCTTATCTCTGTTCAAGGATGTTTTTTCTGTCAAACTTATGCTTGATGGTGAATGATCGTCACACTGAAGATGCTGGGTTTGGCACGGATTCTGATTTGTAGTCCAACGTTGGATTCCCCTGCTGATGGCACCCCCACAGTGCTAGACGCATGTATCATACGCAGTGTTGGGAGTAATGCGTAACTCCACTACTTTTGCTGGTAACCAGACATGTAACTAATTACTTTTTTTAAATTAAATATTACAATTACTCAGATTTAAATGGGCTTATTACTTTTGTCTTAAAATAATGGACAACGGCATATTCTGCAGTTATCCAACGTTACTCGACTTTACAGCAACACAGTTCAGGCTTTAAACAATAGTGATTGTAATGTTTCTAATATAAAGTGAAGAAACTTGGGTACATTTAATATAATTATTTATTAACTAACTACTGCAGTAGAGCTCGGTTACATACATCCAGCATTGTGTGGATCTTCTACCGAATCCTACTGTCTAGACAGAAGTGTATCTTACAGGCAAGAATGCTAGTCGCTGCTGCCCTCTGGTGGTCGGGAGTATTAATAACTCCTATCAGTGATAATGGGTACAATGATACATTACATTTGACAGTTGTTAAATTATCCGCGAATCAGTAAGAGAATTGAAGCAGACATTACCTTTTTTTTAAGAGCATTCCAGTGTTTTGGCAACAAACTCCTACACAATGTTATGTGTGTTATGTGTGTTATGCTAGTAGCTAATGTAGTCCCAGCTCCACACCCCAAGATATTTTAGATCTTCAAACTTGTAGTCAGAGTCGACTCCACAGCGGGGCACAAGGGGGCAGTAACCCCCTCACTTGTATAAAAGTATGTCAATGTTTTCATTGTAAAGCCAGAATGCTGTTACCTGATGTTACCTAAAATCAAGTGGGAACTCAAATTCTGAAAAACAAAAAGTCTGTTATTGGATGTAGACGAGTTTAAGTTAGCTAAGCTAGCTCAATATTTTTATCCCATTTGCAGCCATTGATTTGAGAAAGTGGTTGAACGGCAATACAGCAATACGTTTGCGGCCAACTTCGCTTGTAGTGAGTTAGTAAAGGAGAGTAATGGAATGAAGGCGTGTATTTTTAGCATCTTTCGCAACCCATTCCAGTCACTTGGAGCAGCAAACCACAATGACTAATGGCCAAAGGAGGTGCAGAGAGTATTGGGAAAGCGAGGAGAACGCACTGTTTTTGTAATTTTTTCTTAAACAGTTCTCCAGGGCACAAATGGTTTCACTTTCACAACTACGTTGCCACCTGCCAGTAATTTGGTGTCCCCCTGCTATAAGCTTCGTGCCCCCCCCCTTCGTGCCCCCCCTTGGAAATATGTTCAAGCTCCAACATTTAACATTAACTGATGCTGACACTTGAGGACACCTCTGGAGCTACAAAAGGCTTTATACAACTGTTTTCACAGTACTACTTCTAAACGGACTTGGATGTATAAAATCGGTGGAATTATATTTCCCGCAGTAACAGTGTGACTTCACTTTGGCAGGCTATGAAAATCCTTACATAAGTATCTTGAGTCATCAAGGCATCAGGCAACTTCTAGTTTGCCTTCTCTCACACTGATTGGAAGACTGCTGCCGTGGTGAGCAGAGAGTTTGCAGTAGAGATGGCTTTGAGAAGAGTCTTTCAGCTTTAACGCTGTCTTCAGTCTCCACTGACATTAGAGACAAACACAAGCAGCCCAGGGCGACCAAACACAGCTTTTGTTGTCTCATAGTGGTACAGTATCTCCATAGACCCAACTTGTAGTTTTTGAAGAGGAGCACATTGTCTAGCAGTAACTATGCCGAAACCCATTAATGCAGGGGTACAAAGACAGCTTCGATCTCAGTTAATCGGGATATTAATGATAAATCATTCTTAATAGGCTGTGCAATGAAAACCAACATTTTACTTACCTAAGATCAGTGAAAAGATCAGCTCTGTCTTGTGATGTCAGATTTATTATGCTTGTGTATTTGTGCAACCTAAGAGTCTGCAGTGACTGTCTCCAATCAGAGATAAAATGTGGGGAATGGACATCCATCTCTGAGGTCCAGAGGGATATAAATCTGCTGAAAACATACATCTGAAGTTAAAAGGTTGGATTAGGACATTCTAGGAAGTCAAACTTAAAGTCAGGTGAAAAACAACAACTGTATAATCAATTTTAAATGGTTGTTTTTCTCAAATAATTCTTCAGCCTGCCTGCACATCCTGCATACAGACGTCGGGGCTGGAGACACTCAAGAGAATCAAGAAATCAATGAAAAAACTTCAAAACAACCTCCTTTTGCCTCCAACAATCAAACCACCATGGTCTAATGTGTGTGCTTAAAAATCCAAGCTCAGTTTAATGACTTGTTTTTTTTATATATATATTTATATATTATTCCTACAAATACATGGTTTTCAGCACTTTGAAAAACGTTCACTTTCCTCAGTAAACCAAGAAAGCTAGAAATATCCTACAGTGAAAAAAAAGACAAAGACAAACCATTTTGACAAAAAAAAATCACAAAAAAAGACATGAAAATAACAATCGAATGAAATTAAAAAACAACATCCTGTACAAACACTATGGCCCAATAATTTAAGAAAATAGTGTCTCTAAAACGTTCATATTGCTTTGTACCTCCACTGACCGGGCAAAGCCCACCCTGTGCGACACCGGGCAGTTCAGATGGCGACCACAGAGGGCGCCAAATCCCAGGTGCCGATGTCACTCCAGAGGTTATGGGTCGAGCTGCAGCCAGTGGCATGCAGGCGTAGCAGAAGAGAAACAGTCACGTTTGTGTTGTTGTTGTTCTCTTCTTCTCTGGTTGTTTTGGCAGTAACAATACAAATACAAGGGATGGTCACACTACTACAGTACTGCACTCCTTATGAAACCAAGGATGTTTTCACTGTTTGTTGTAGTTTTACCATTATTACTCTCTACAGCATTATTACTAGAACTATCACCATCACAGATACACGGAGTGCATCGCGTGTTTGTGTGTGTGGAGGTTTCGTCCAGCTGTGTGCGTGTGTGTATTGGTGTGTTGGAGTATCAGTGTTCAGTGCTCAGAGCTTGTCTTCTCAAAAGAGAAACTGGGAAGAGTCAATAGCTTGGGGTTGGTGTTGGGGTTTGGCGAGCCTCCGTCCTGTGCCGAACCCTCGCCAACTCCCACGTCAAAGGAGTCCTTGGAGTCACTGGAGGGCGCCCTCCTCCTCAGGCAGGTGTCCCGGCTGGGCAGAGGAGGGGGCATCCCTAATCCCCCCAGCCCAATGCCCCCGAGTGCACCCAGGCCCGGGTAGAGGCCGGACTGAGGCTCCAGTCCGTCAGGGGGGTCCACGGAGATGCAGGGCGGGCTCATCTTCTTCTTGCGTCGGGGTGAGGGCAGCGAGGTCTGAGTGGGGGTCTGGCTGTGGATCTGCAGGCTGTCGGCTCGCGATACGAACCCGGAGGAGGCGGAGGCTGTGCTGCCCTGGGGGCTGGACTCCGCCGAGGAGCACACCTCGACGGAGTGGCTCCTTGGGTCGTCCAACCAGGAGTAAGGGCGGGGGCGGGGCAGGAGAGCGGTGCTGCCCTGCGTGTCAGCGCTGTGGAACCTCTTCAGCTGCCTCAAACATGGACTCGGGCTTTCATGGCAGCCCGCGTAGCTGCTGTAACCCTTGTTACTGCCGTCGCCACTGTCCTCCATCATGATGTCATCACTGCCAGCCAACCCTGCACGCGTAATGAGCGACACTTCCTGATCCACCGAGGCTTCCTCCTGTTGGAGCTGCCTGGCTGGTAAGGGCGGAGGAGGCAAGGAGGAGGGAGGGGAGGAGGCGGAGGAGGCGAAGCAGTGCTGGTTGTGAAGCTGGGTGTGCACACTGCTGGGGCGCGAGGGTTTAGGGGAGGCGCCTGGCGTGGCGGGGACCAGGCAGAGAGCGGGTTGCGGGTGATGATGGGAACAGGGTGAGGGAGAGTTGGAGGGGGAGGAGGCCGAGGGGGATGGAGGGAGGCCCAGAGAGGCCACATTCACAAGTCCTTCATTGCTCTCCCCTCCGTCTGAACACAGGGCCTCCTGAGAGTCAGTAGACACCGCAACCTGGAAGACGGGGCATGTAGGGGAAATGGTGGGGGTAAAATATTCAGGAGCAGGGGTGAAGAGATGGAGGTAAATTATGCGGTGAGAGGAAGGGAGGGAGAGCGGGGGAGCGGAAGATCAGGGAGGATGAGAGGGGGAGACTAGTTAGTGTGAGGCGATGGGGATGAGAAGCAGCAGTTTGGGTCAAAGTTCACTGTCTGGCCAGCATATTCCTAGAGTCCTCTCTGTTCTTTTAATTCTAGGCAGCGAGGGGTTATATTGGCATTGCAACATTTTTCCATGAATTCAAAGATGGAAGCACAGAGGTTACACTGCATTACTCAACGGCAGAATTCCATATGAAGACTTGCCAAAAGTGATATGAGTAAACAGCTTTGGACGTAACTGGATGTGTTCTTTGGTTTTGTTTTATTAATTCACTGTGCAGTGCTTATGTCGAGGCAGAGCCATTATTTTCTCCTCACATCTGACAGGAACAATTGTTAAAGGCCCCAGTTCACTCAAAAATGGATTATTGTTGCTACATCACTTGGATGTTTGATCTTAACTGTGCAGAATGATGTACGTGTGAGACACTAGAAGCTTGTTTTCACATAGAGCCGCTGAAGGGGGAACGTTTCTCTGGGCTCACCTTCAATCTAGAGTTTAACACGAGTACGTGTGCTCCAACAGGGCAGGACATCACAGTCTGCAAGCCAATCTTGACCTGATGTGCGACTTACACAAGTGTGGTGTGGAAACTTGAAACCTCCAGTGCAAAAACACAGAGAATGGAGTAAGAGACATCTGGTGTCCAGCAGTTAAACATTCAAAATGAAAAATATTTGCATATTCATAAATCCTTGTTTTATAATGAGGTAGAAGGAGTATAAGTCATTTAAATATTTATTTATCTGTTATATAAGTTAACTTTTTTGTTGAAAATCCATATTGGACACAAGTGACCATACTATAGTAAGTATTTGTATGTCTTAAAACATGTCTGAGGGGGCCTTTAAAGGGATTTGATGACTAAAATGAACTACTTGTACTCAATAAAATCCCCTGAAACTCTAAACATTATGACTAAGATTCTTTTGGACAATTCCCCTCCACATTTGTTGGTATAAAAGGATTATGAATGTGATAAAAAAAATGACTGCTTTTGGGAATCCTTCCCTTTGTTGGTAGGAAGTACTTAATATTAGTTAGTTAGTACGTATGAGGGCATTTCCAAGTTGTAACTGACGTGGATGATATTTCCAAGAAAGAAGCTCAAATATTTTTAATTTCAGATTGTTTTTCTCATTTGTCCCTGGAACGCTGCTTGTTTTAGTTGGACAGAGGGACTCTGAAGCTGACACAGTGAACTCTGAGCCAGACCGTCTGACCCTTTAACCTTTGACCATTCACACAAAACCCTGCCGACCGTCAGCAGCACAGCTTTCAGTTCAATTTACAACCAAATTCTGATCAGGGTGTGAGGCCAACAGTCAGAGGGTAAACATAACATGTAGCTACTGTAGGAGAGGAAGGGTTAGTAAGCACAATGGTTGCCAAAAACCATAAAATGTCCTCATGAACTCATGCCTTGTTCCTCATAGACCACAAACTGGGCAGAGGAAATGAATAAGTACCTGAACATAATTGTTCTGAATTAGGTCAATTAAAATATCTTGAATCCATGGAGATGAGGGAACAAGTCAAGCATGAGTTGAGGGGCACAGCAGTTTGAGAAATGTTTGGAATCATGGGGTTTTCCCTGCATGAGCCTGAATGGTGTGACTACAGAGACACCTAGTGGTCAAATATATCACAACCAGGCCAGGCCAATCACCAGCCACAGCAATACAACACCAAGTCACAAATAATGAGTGTGCGTACTGGAACAATGCTAAAAAATGATCACCCTGTCAGACTTTTTGAAGCAACGTCGGGTTAAGTGCAATAACTACTGGTACTCTGGTTAACAACTATGTACGTCTCAAGCTACTCAATAGAAAATTCACAAGTGCTCTATCACTGTGGTACTGTGTGTACAAAATGGCCAAATGCATATGGACAGCACTTGCTGTTCTGTAGCAATCCCCTGAGTTGTATAGTTTGTGGTGTAGTAAGTGCACTGCATTGTGGGTAGATTTCTCAGCCTTTGTCTGGCTTGAATACATTCTATCACTCAGCTACCAAATAACCCACTGATGCAATGTTACGCCTAGCTCCTGCTGCCTGTATGATATAGAAGAATGAATAGAGTCCCATTAAGGTCTCCTACAGGCAAATCCACCTGTTAAATAGTTTTAGATGCTTTGTGGCTGATGGTTAGCAGTAGATCAATGTCTAATGAGTGACATGGGGAGAGAAGCAGGGAAGCCTGTGTGTGTGTGTGTGTGTGTGTGTGTGTGTCTCTATCTCTTGGAAGATGAACATGGAGTCCAGTGTTTCTGAAAGGCCCAGTGGTAGCTAAAGTCTGCTGTTTGTCGCTGTTTCAGAAACAGGAGTATCTGTGTTTGAGCAGTAGCTCAGGGTCGGGCGGCTTTTGGGCCCAACTGAGCTAAGATCAGAGAATGACAGATACAGTGTGGAGAATGAGACAGCAGAGAATATAGCAACAGATAGGAATACCAGGAAGAAGGGGAGAAAGGAGGAGGAAGAAAAGTGAGACTGTTTAGAACATGCAATGAGGAAAGAGATTAAGGAAAACTCAAAACCCATTTATCTCTCAGACGGGGTCGTATGCTGCATTCACATGGATTCAAGCAAACAGACAGCACCTTCTTCACAGTACAGGAAAAACATACAAACGGTCCAGCGGAATGGCAGGACGGCAAAACGAAACACACATGATAATATGTTGCTACAGTGCTGTCATATCATGTATTTTAGTCAATATTAGCTACGTAACATCCGGTTTTAAACTCTGGCGAGGAAGATTTTAACTTTGAACAGCAGTGCTGTCTCCCTACCTCACCTAATTTTGCCTTCTGCTCCCATCCACTAACATGACATCCCTCTACTGTTTGCCTGATTCCATGTGAATGTAGCATTAGAGCCACAATTGGGGGGATCAGATAATTGTGAGAATAAACGCAAATATTATAAGAAAAATTCGAATTTAATGGAAAACAAGCCATGTACTATGAGTATAAAGTCTAAGTTGTAGAAGAAAAAAGTCACTTTATTATAAGAATAACGCTGTCATTTTATAAGCCATAACAATTAGACAATAGTATCACTATAGCAACCGAATGTCAGATGATATGTCAACAATACTCACTGCTCATTGGCATACTTGAATCCTTTTCTGATGCCATTATCTTGTGTTTTGATATCTGCATTCTCTGGCACACCAACCGGGAGCTAGCCTAGCCTGTCATTGGTTTAAATGGCTTTATCTTTAAGAATGAGGGTCCAAATACTGATGATGATTGTTTTATTGTCCTTAAACCTAGGATACTGAGGTATTGTCATAATATTGTGAATTTTCTTTGCAACAACATCTTAACCAGTGTCTAGGATTTAGTGGCATCTAGTGGTAAAGTTGCAGATTGCAACAGAACACTGCTCGCGCCTGTATCTGTTTTGTATCTGGAATGAGAACGGGCTGTGGAGTGTGTAGGAGAACTACAGTGGCTGCCAAAACTTACCAAAAATGCAAAAAAAGGCAAAAGGCGCTATCTAGAGCCAGTATTGGGTTTGACCCAAACTGGGCTACTGTAGAAACATGGCGGTTTAACATGGCGGACTCCATAAAGGGTGACCCGCGGCGGTAGATTAGAAATTGCAAATTTTAAGGTAACAAGAGCACAACTATTTCTATACTTAGGTGATTATACACTAATGAAAACATACCTTTGATATTATATTCCATTTCTGCCAATACTTCAAAATATTTTAACTTCATATCGAAACATCTAAATTATTTCCCCCCAATAGTGGCTCTTATACGCTGCTGTAATTATAACCCAAAGGTTTATAGGTTTTTATTTTCACCAAACATTCAAGCAGGTGTTTCATAGATCAGCTTCTTGTCTCTACTAAAAAGAGCTTTAATCAGTAAAATCAGCCTCTGTAATGTTTGCTGTGAATAAAAACATCCAGATCAATTGGCCTAAATGGCACATGGTTGAGAACCACTGACATTAACAACAGCTTTCATCACAAACAGTACAGATACAGGAGGATAGGAGAAGACTGGAAAAGTTAAACTGTGTGATAGTCACCTGTCTGCGGAGTGTGCGGCTGAGTGTGTGCGCACGTCTGGGAGGGGGTAGTCGTGGTATACTCTCCGAGTCTGAGTGGCTGTGGGGGCTGATGGGTCTAAAGAGGTCTGTGGGAACAGTCAGCTGAGAAAACTCCTCCGGCTGTGAACGCACCGAGCCACTGGAGCCTGTACGCGAACAAATAAGCACAGGACTGAATATGACGGGTAAATAACAACAAAACAGTTACATCAGGTGTGTTTCTTCTCAGAGGAAATTACCTGCGCCTTCCTACAGTCAACCTGCATTAAGTTCAAAATCAAGGTCTCTCATTTCTGCCCTATCATAATGAGGTGTCACAAATCTTGGATCAAAATGAATAAATGAGCTACCAGACTGTAACTGTGCTGTAGAAAACAATAAATATGGTTTTACCAGATTGGGTCCTGTGGGTGCCCCGTATGTGCTGGGACCCTTCTGTCTGTGCTAGAAGCTGTGCTGGAGCCGCAGAGCCAAAGGGCTGCATGGGGAGGTACATGTAGCTGTCGTTAGGCAGGGAGTGTGTGCGTCCCACCATGGGCTTCCTGACGCTCAGCAGGTTGTCCTCCAGTGGCTCCCCGGGATCGAGCTGTTCTGGCTGGGGGACAGAGAGAGGAGAGTCAGGATCCCTCTGGAGCTGGATGGACCGGGGCTTCTTTTTTGACTCACACGCTTTCACATTCTAACACATTCACAGTTGAAATCTTTCTAAGACACAATGTGAACAAAGAGGCAGTAGTCATCAGCATACACAGAGAACAGACAGGATCTTTGCGTTTTGGAGTTGACTGGCGCAGAGCTGCCACAGATCACAGAAACAAGAAGCTGGTAGCTTGAAAATTTCCAAGCACTTTAATTTTTTTTTATTGTAAGACACTCTGCGTCTCGGGTCTGCATTTGCCCATGCAGTCATTTAACTTTCACGTAAGCCTGCCCTGTGATTGTGTGTCAGCTGGGGCAGTGTCCTGCAGCCTTGACCCATTAACAAACCAGTTCACATTCATCACAAAAGCTACTGGAGCTCCAGCACACTTTGCACCCCAGTAGCAAACACAGGACAACTCAGAGAGGAGTGAAAACTACTAGAAAGCCAGAGGACAGAAGACAGTACAAACACAGAAGAAGACTGATAGGAAAGTATGAGAAAATACATGGACTCACATGTAAAGCACATAGGAAAAAGACAGAGGAAATTAAGAAAGACAGAGAAAAGAGGATAGAGGTTACAGAGAGAGAATAAAGAAAAATAAGAGATAAGAGTAGAGGCGAAGGAGAGAAAACTGCAAACTGGCAGGTGAGGAGGCGCACTACTCTACTGGACTGGACTGGAGAGACACATTAGGCTGGAAAGGTGGAATGAGAAAGAGAAGAGAAAGTCGGAGGGCACATGGTTAGATTCGCCAGGGTCTTTCAACACCTCTTGTCCCCTTCTACCTCTTCACCTCCTCCACTCCTTTTCTTTGTATTTGTCCCAGCACAATCCAATTAACAGTGATTTCATGTCATGAGTTGGCCGGGGTTCTCTGTTTTTCTGAGACTGATGGTATATAAATCGATCCCACTGCATCGCTGTCCTAGATGTGCAGCATGGGCCAAGGTTAAAGTGACCCTCTCTGGGGGAAGACACGTGACTACAGGGAAGTAATGTGATCATTAATGAGCCAAATTGGTAGTTAATTATACCCTGACAACCAGATGACATTCGATTTATTTTCAATTTGGAGGGAAGATGTCCTTTCATGACAGAGCCCCCAGGGACAGGATATCAGAGAGATGAATTCTGGTAAAGAATGTGTCCTTGTATGAGACAATATTGGATTCTGGAGTGCGCTGTTGTTCTTATACCACGACCACTTAATGCAGCTTGTTCGATTTGTTTTCCATGGGGAATACATTTAAAAGCACTGATGTATAATGGTGGTTAGACCGTCAACTATGGTCAAAGTGTCTTAACTCAAACTTAAACATTCCAGCCAATCAGACACATGCTATTCAGGACTTCACATACAATAGGTGACACTTTATTTTATTGGTCTGTCATTTCCTGGTAATTTCCTTGGAAGTTTCCTGGGAAAGACTAATGTAACTTGGGACTAATTATAGAGAAAACGAAGGTAAAAGATTCAGGTAAACAAATATAATTTTAGTCAGTCAGTTGAGCAAAAAACTCAATTTAAGTGCATATCCATTAATTATTCATTTATCATTGAACACTTTTTGGACAAATTAACCATTTTCAGCTGACCTGCTGTACACTGACTAAAATAAGTGTTTAACTGGAAATGCAACATGAACACTTTCTCGACTGTCCCTATAAGTAATGACAAATTACACAGTTGTTTCCAGGAACTTTCCTATGAAGTAAAGTACAGTTGCATATAAGAAATTATAGGAAACTAGTGGACCTGTATAACAAGGCATATTTTATATAACATATTTTCCATAGCCATGGTATAAAGTTATTTATCCTATTCAGAATTTGTACATTTTATGACTTTGTTGCCCCCCAGTGGTAGTATTAAACACTGTATTAGCTCAGTTTTGGTCTCCTTTAATTCTTGAATAAAATATATGTTCCTTTGTTTGGTGTAAACAATAATAATTCTCTGTGGGTTCATTGAGCGGCACCTTTCACATACAAGTAGTCATGTGATCCATCATTAATATAAAAAAACTCATTATAGCCACTTTATGCATTTTTAGCATCCAATTGGTTTCCATACAGTATTTGGGGGGGGGGGCAAGTGGCTTTGGAAGTGCCCTGGGAAAGAAAACACTACAAGATACTGCAAAAGGGGAAAGAGGAGGAAGAGGGATGGAGAAGGAGAAAGAGAAAGAGAGGAACTGTCAGTACATTGCATTCCAGACTGGTTAGAAAGAGGGGGTTAAAATCGTCGGGGCCCGAGTCGTCTGTCAGAGCTAGGGACCAGGATTTCTCAGAGGCCAGAGACAGAGCTTCCATCTCCGCTAGAGGGATCTAGGCAGGAAGAGACAACGGCTGGTGAGCAGAGAAAACAAACACACTCACAAAAATAAGGACGCTACACACAGAAAAGACCTGTAGCTAACAGAGATATTGACTTTGAAACAACACATATAAAACTGGAAGTGTGAAGCAGAGCAAAACAAGGAAAAAAGACAAAGCAACATTTATAGGCTGGAAACCACCTTTAGACATTTTAAACTGTATTGCTATTATTGTAACAGCAGCAATCATATTCCAGGGTCCATACACACACACACACACACACACACTAAAATGTACAGCTTTATGATTCTGAACAACAGACTGTTTAACGTGATGCAAATGAGACAACCACGCTCTTTCACAGAAACAAACAAGCAGACAGGAAGGGGATTCAATTATATTCTATGTATTAAAATGCACAGTCATTTCAAATTTGCAGAGGCTTAATGTTAAAACCTGGAAGTGCCTACACAGCTAAACTAGCTGAATGCGAGATGCTAGCTCTGAGTTAATTCACATCACTGAGCTCTGAATCCTAGAGCTCTGCAGAGTTTGGCCTCAGTCTCGCTGTGTTTAGAAGCCTTGCTCGCTTCTGGAAGAGGAGCTGCTGTGTATTTGGCCTCGTACCTGTCTAACAGGGGAAATGCTTTCTGACAGGCAAATGGGCCATCGGAGCAGAGAGAGGCAGGAGCCAAAACTCGATGGAGAACATCTTCTGTTAACGTATCGGAAGGAGAGAGGTGGCCTATGGCGCCTAATAATGATGTCTCAGACCCATTTGAAGCTTTTAGAAGATCGGGTTTTGCAATGCTAATGTAATTGGTCAAAATTTGCCTTCAAATGAGGAAAAGCGGCACTCAGATGCATTATTCAGCGACTGTGTGATCCATAGCTTATTGATTGAGCCATTGCCCTGCAGACTTGTGTGTAAGAGTGTGATCTTTGAGAATAAATGCCTTTGGTGGGATATTACATCACTGTGACTGTTTGAGAAAGTAGGGATTCACATATAGACACACAAACATGCATGCGGACACAAACAGACACAATGTTGTGTGGGGGAAACTCTAAACCATGTCACTGAGGCCAGACCAAAAACCTGCCAAGCATGAATGGATATAAGTGAGTGGAGACGTGAGCAAGGGAGTGAGATCATAGCTGAGGCGGGATATGACGCACTGCGCTGTGGTGGGCAACAGGGCCGGTTAGAAAGTGGTAAATATTCAATGTGGAGGAATGCCAGTGCAAAAATGGTAATGGCTGTAGGGCTGCACAAGATGTACAAAAGATCACATTAGCATACTTTTTCATGAATCTTATGAAATAAAGTTTCACGGACAGTATTCCTGCACTAACTAGGCCGGGGATTCTGTACTCAACGAACTTTATCCATCTTTAAGTAATTTAGTCTGGTATTAAGTCATAAAATTTCATTTTTTATTAATACAAGTGGTAAATTCAGCCAATAGCGGTGAGATAATTTCACCTGTTTTCAATCAAAAGCTATTGTTTCATGAGTCAACCAAGCTCATCTCCTTACTTGGAATAATCCGCTTTAGTTAAAGGGTCACTTGACCCAAATTAAAAGAAACCAGATATTTAATTTCTTAGCTGTGGTACAATGGATCTAAACCTTTTAGTGTGAGAACACAGACAAAGTCAAATATATTTGAGTTGATTTGCCCTTAATTTCTAAAGAAGATTAGAAAATAAGTATAAATAATAACGACTTTGAATAGCAAATTTTGGGTTTGATGTTTCCTACTTTGGTACTAGGACGTCTACAAAACACACAAATCTAAGGTAAAGTTCTGTATTTAAGACCACCTGTGTCGAGTCGAAGAAAAGTCCAAGACCAGGACTAGTGGAAATTGGGAGCCAGGCAAACAATTGCAAGTGACAATGACTGGCTGTCTGCACCGATGTCAATGTCTGAGGGATATTGAATTAAACCAATACCAGTTTTCTGAGCATGCATGCTTCATCAATGGTTTTGTTTTGAAGGAGAAAAAAATAAATAACAGCAGTACACTAAATATTATATTAATAAACGTAAATAATGTGACGGGAGGATCCTAAATTCACTAGCACTTAGATAATAATCTAACAACAACAGATTCACAGTTTCAAATAAAACTGACTCAGTTTAACCCACAGAGATCAAGAAAGTTGTGTTTGTGCTGCTCACAGTACTGAAAATTACATATAAAACAGAAACATATTTCCTTATAATAATAATCCACAGGTTGGTAGAATTTTGAACATTTCTTTATTAAATACTGTGAGCAACAGAAACCAGAAACATTCCATTCCCTTTTAAAGCATTGGGGGTAGATCTCAAAGATGGATACCTCACATTGGGCTAAATTATTTGCATGACTAGACACTGCTAACTGAGAACAGTGATTTATTTGTGATTTGGGTGAACTGACACTTTAAATGCACCATCACTTGTTCTAAGAAAGTCTTTAAGTTTAACTGCCTTGAAAACAGGGGATATTATTTGATTTAGCCTCACATAAAAGAAAAAAAGACTATCTGTAACCTTTCTGGATATCATATTAAGAATCAGAATTTACAGCAGCATCTACTGCATTGCAGTTTTAATGTGCTTACTATCGCTTGTGCAGCCCTACTTGTTGGAGAGGAGCAAGACCCAATGGATGTATGAAATGATGAGTGTGAGTCATCATTCTGGTGATTATTGACCTTCTTGTCGCTGCTGTGCTTGCTGGGCCTGGGGGGCAGTGCGTAGTAGTGACAGATAGAGCCAGAGAGGTTGTCCATCAAACTCAACTCTCCCTCCATTGAACCCTGGATGACCAGGGAGACCGAGTCAAACTGCGCTCTCCGCTGGACAAACTTCGATAATGCAGAGAGAAAGGACAGAGCAGAGAGACAGAAAGACAGGAAGCAATTTGGAGCAGAAGTTGAGGAAAAGGACAAGGACGGGGGAGAAGGAAAGACAGAAGTCGACAAATAGACAGGAATAATGTGGAAAGAAAGAATGGATCACAAAGAAAGAGAGGGAAGGAAGGAAAAAAACAGTCGATCAAGAAGGAACAAACATATAAACAGAAACAAGACAAGAACTACATTATCTATTAAACTTAGCTCAATAAATTGTTAAGCCTTTCATGCAGCACACAGCAACTGAACACACACAATCTCCTCCTGACCAACATCCACTACAGGCCCTCATGTGTTCCCATTTAATTCAACAAGGGGGCACTGCAACACTGCAGTAGAGCTGCTCTCCCACAGTGCTGGAGAATAGACTGCGGCTTAACCACACATGTTTTGGAAGAGTGGCGGAAGAAGACGGATAACATCTTAGAGGGGAAACATAGCGACAGCGAGGCCTCTATTTCCTATCCCCCAAAAAGTTCCCTGCTGTCTGGAAATAGCAGTTGAAGTGAACAACAAGGCCCCGTGGTCTAGCTTTCCCATGGCACTGTGACCTATCTATGACTGGCATGTCCTCTACTGGGACCGGCAATACACAAGTACACACACACATACACACACACACACAGTCAGGCATGCACACAAACTGTAAACCATCCTGGTGTTTACACAGACATAGAATAATACATTTGCATATCTAGAACTTTTTGTGGATTATTGACTTGACATAAAGAATAACTGTGTCTAATATGTGAGGAGAATATGTCAATATTGAGAAAAACAGTCAATAATCCTGACTTTGGACACATCTCATGTAAATGTATCCACTTATATTTTGAAATGATGCCAGAATGTGTAGTAAATATGTCCTAATATGGCCATATCCGCCATACTTTGTTTACATATGGGCTACAGTTAGTACACTGAGACAATGAAGAGACATTTCTCCAAACAAATCCTCTATTTCAAGTAGTCTCCAGTATGCTCAGCATCCCTCAACCCGTGCCAGAGAATTAACTAATGGTTTGGACTGGAGTCAGAACTAATGACTAGAGACTTGGGGGGTGGGGATGGGGTCATCTGACTGGCCGCACAGCCTGGCCCCCCAGCAGGAAGTGACCTTGGAGCATCTGTCATGTCACCCATGACGCTGCATGGACCATACATAAAATATACACCGCTAATTGTCTAATTGTTAAGTTTACACACACTGATATTTAGAATATTGAAAAAAATTATGCAGCTATCTTTTGTGGAATATGGCAAGTATTTTGGACAGTTCTTGCTTTTTTGAAACTCCCAATTCTATCTATTCTTTTAATCTTAAAGATATTATACGTTATTATAATAATCCAGATGATATCCTGAATATCTGATTAATGTCATTATTCGATATGCAAAGTCTTTTATTCAACAGAAAACTTACATCAGTACCTCAGATCTCACCTGTTCTCCCTGAACTGAATTCGCTACTTAAATCACAAATAAAGTGATAGGCATTTGAAACATTACAGAACTGTTTTCCCCATGAAACCTCTTGATTAGTACATTTATATTTGTGTATATGTATACTCCTGTATTTGATTTTTATGTTATTGTCTTTTAATATTTTCTGATATGTTCTTTTTATGTATTTCTAATAATAATAATAATAATAATAATAATAATAATAGACATTATCTGAATGTGTATCTCACTTTTACTTGTGTGCAATAATGTGAATCAATCAAGACAGCGTTTATATGTAACTATAAAGTCACTCACATGTGACATGGAACCCATCTAATTTATTGGTTATATAAACCTATAGTTATATATAGGTATAGAGTTATTAATGCACAAGCTGCTATTGGGACCTACAAAGGGAAAGCTATTATTATTCTGATTAGCTGTGTTTTTCAGTAAAATCTATTGTTTCTGTCAGTAAGCACAAACATAACACAGAGTTATGTTCTTTGAGAACATGTCAACAGGGCTGATGAGGGAACCATGGTCGAAGAATGTCTTCGGAATCACAACGCTCAGATAAACATAACATAGAAGCAGCACAAAAAAGACTTATCACCTCCAACGTGGGCTCCAGGCTCGAAGGGGGGTCTGCTCTGAGGTTTATAGAGTCTCTGCGAATATCAGCAGTGGGTGAGTCCATAGGACCGTCCCTTTCCTGCTCCCTGTCCCCTCCTCCAGTGGACCTACAGGGGGAACCCCCAGAGCTCGACCTATCCGTGCCCAGTGCCAAAGGGTTGAGCTGGGGTGACCGTTTTGCCATCTCCGCCCTTTCCGCCTGGAGCCGGTTCTCCAGTTCCAACTCCGCCTCCAGCTCCGCCTCCTCCTTGGCTTCCTTGTTGCTCTCCTCCAGGTGCTTCATCAGGACAGCTATGACAACGTTGACCAGGACAAACTGGGCGGTCAAAACAAAGGAGACGAAGTAGATGGGAGAGACCACAGTGTTGTAGCAGGTTGTGTTTTTATTGCAGTCCCTTAATGTGTCCTGGACAAAGCATAAAAACATGAGCACTGGGTTAGGGTTCTGATAAACTCAGATGATGAACACAGCACACATTATACCCGGTAAACATCAGCATGTTCAACATTGTAAGCGCGCTGATGTTAGCATTTATTTGTAGCCTAATGCATGGATAACTTCAGCTACAGTAGGGTTAAAGTTAGGGAAAGGTCATGGTCATAATACAAAAATCCCTAAAAATGGAACATGAAGTCAGGTCTCTGGTGTGAAAGTCAGATGCACTCTTTTGCCCATCCATCACCACGACCTCCACACTCTTACTTTCTGCC